GCCACGCTTTTCTCCAGGAATGAATTCCATAAGCCCATTCTTAACAATCCATCTTCCTGCAGTGTGGAGGGAAGTCAGATCTTGTTCAATTTTGACCCAGCCATGCATAATCTGCAGAACTGCATTTTTAAGCAAGTCCCTCACCGCTCACAAGAAAGGTCTAAGCGAGCATTTTTCCTTCAGGGGGCAAAATGGATTAAGTCCAGGAACCCTGTCCAAGGCCTTCTCATTGGGGCAGTGTGCAAACATCACACACACCAAATGCCACTCCCTCACCTTTCTGGAAGCATTCGTTGCCTTTGTTCTTCTCTTCCAAAGCCAGCTCAGGATTGATGTACGCCTCCCTTTCTTGTTCTTTTAAGATTTTCTCAGCCTGGGGAGAAAGGAAGTGTCAATGCTATCTACCCAAGAACAAGCTTTGGCACAAAGCAGCAGCTGATGAGAAAAACCTTCTTGGTGGAAACTCTAGAAACCAACGGCTTAGGAGGCAGACTAAGTTATCTGGCTTCAATACAGCTTGCTGGGTTTTGTCCTGATTTGTCTTGGGGGCGGGCAAGACTGTGCTGCCCCCAAGAGCAGTGTGTCTTAAACTTTTTTCTCTCAGGACCTCTTCCCGCTGCTAAAAATTACGGAGGGCCCCAAAAGAGCTTTGGTGTGTATGGGTGATATTTAGCAATATTTAACCTATTAAAATTGACGCATTCACTGCCGCTAGCACTTCTCACGATGATTTGATGGGATTTTCATACTGTATTATTTTTCAACATAGGCTGGCAAATAATTCTGGTTTCAAGGAACCTTGAGAGGGTCCCTTTAAGAAACATTGCTCTAGAGCAGTGTTCCTCAACCTTGCCAGCTTTAAGCCGTGTGGACTTCAACTCCCAGAATTCCCCAGCCAGCATGGCTTAAAGCTGGCAAGGTTGAGGAACACTGCTTTAGAGCACAGATGGAATGTTTAAGGCATTCCTCTTTTCTTTCTTGTTTAAGCCTGTTTTAGTAGTTCTATGATGGGCTGTGCCACCTCAAGAAGACAGGAAAAGAAACCCACTGATTTTGGCCAGAGAGGTTCCAGGGGGGTGACAAAAAAGGGCTTGCTCACCCCTGAGATAAAAGGACGGGGCAGCTCCTTCCCCACCACCGCCTTGGAAAGCCAGCCCAGTTAGATGAGGCAGTGGTTTAATTCAGCAGCCTGATTCAGACACCATAAAAGCCACCAGCTTGGCTTAGAGCAGCATTTCTCAACCTTGGCAACTTGAAGATGTGTGGACTTCAACTCCCAGAATTCCCCAGCCAGCCTTCAAGTTGCCAACTTAGAGCAGCATTTCTCAACCTTGGCAACTTGAAGATGTGTGGACTTCAACTCCCAGAATTCCCCAGCCAGCCTTCAAGTTGCCAACTTAGAGCAGCATTTCTCAACCTTGGCAACTTGAAGATGTGTGGACTTCAACTCCCAGAATTCCCCAGCCAGCCTTCAAGTTGCCAAGGTTGAGAAACACTGGCTTAGTGTTTTCTGCAGCCAGCCATTGTAGCTGGTAAACCATGGTTTACAGCTTATCACTGCATAAACCTGCCAAATGTAGCTTCATAACAACCCAAGACTTAGTGCAGGGTGTGAACCCACCCAAAGCTAAGGAGTATCCTTTATTCCTACAAATATCAGCAGAGAAAAGAGCAAAAGGGGAGATGGAAGATCCTGGTGTGGTTGGAGAGTGTAAAAACAGGAGCAAAAGCCCAGCTTCGCCACCCAATCACCCGAGCTACAGAAGACTTTTGGAACGACATGCTTGCCTGTTGACACTTTTTCAACACGTCTGGAGTACGGTGCTCAGCCAGAGACTTGTTGTAAAACTGAATGGCTTCCTTGTACTTTTCTTCTTTGAAGTAGGAGTTCCCAATTCGGGCGTAAGCTCTAGAGGCAACAACGATCATCATCACCCACATATCTAGAACGAAGAGCTGAGAAGCCCCCGAGCAAGCGAAAATTCTTGGCCCACCTTCCCATGCGGTTTTGTTCTGAATGACGGGCCTGGAAGGCAGTGTGATGGATGGCAAATTCCATACTTGGGCGCTTGAATCACAGGATAATAAACGCACCTTTATGCACTCTATGGAGGAAGTGGTGCACTTCAGGGATGCTATCGGGGTGCTGGGCAATGGACAATAAAATTAATCCAAAGGTGTTAATCCAATAAAGGAAGAGAATGGAAAGAGACCTCCCTTGGCCTGAAAGAGCGGAGAACTATTATCCATCTGAGCAGAGCAAAAAAAGGTGATATTAACTTTCCTTACTGGGAAAGGCCACAGCTGAGCAGCAGAGAATATGCCCGGCTCCCAGAAGGTCCTCATCCCTGACAAGGTTATGGAACATCCTGTCCAGACATTGCCACGACTCATGAATAGGATGTCAGGCAGATTCTGATGTAATTCCTAAGCACACGCATCTCTTCCCCCCAAAATAGCAGCTTAGTGAATACTGATGCAAATCAAAACAACTGGGTTTGTAGCAAAGCTTGGCAAGCATTGAAATGTTCAAGAGGCAGGTGAAAAAACCTGATCGCTCCAAGGAAGCTCTCCCAGGAACCCTTGCCACCTACTTGGCAATCTGTCGATAATCTTCCCGGTTCTCACGCCCCACCTCGATGGCTTGCTCGCACAGTTCCCGGCACTTGTTGTAATCTCCTTTCTCAAAATGCACCGCTGAAAGGGGGGGAGGAGGAAAAAAAACGCACCCAAAGGCAGGTGTGAAACTGGGAGAACCATGTTTGCAATGAGGCTGGTTTGCAATGTCTGTCTTCCCTCCACTGGCTGGATGAGGCTGATGGGGTTTGGAATCCAACCCCTGGATGCTCACGCCATACCAATCCCTTGTTCTAACAAAACACCTCCTCACACTTATAAGATTACCTTTCAGGCACTCTTCGGGGTGAGGTGGATGGCTTAGGAAAAAATGGGGTTGGTCAGCGGTGGTATTCCATCATGTCCACCCACAGGAGGCCTGCCTGGGGCCTTCTTTTTGGGGCCCAGTGAGTATTTTGTCCAGATTATCCTCCGAAGAATAGATATACCCAGAAATAGAAAATCCAGATTTTTCTATTTCAATCCTTTCTGGGTTTGTCTCTATTATTTTCTAGGTTTCAAGAGTCTTAAATGAGTGTTATGAAAACAGGGACTGCTATTGTTTAATTGTGCCCAATATCTCTCAAGGAACACGGTGGAATTTCCTGCTTTAGCTTCATCTCTGTTGTGCCATTTTAAAACTGCCAGCTTGGCTCCCCCTCTCTTCTGCCCGCCTCACCTGCTTGATTAGTAATATAAGTCATGTTGGTTGGATCCAAATCCTTTGCTTTGTTGTAATGCCCCAAGGCTGTCTCGAAGTCTTTCTTCTTATAGGCCTCATTCCCCAACTCCTTCTCCTTCAGAGCCTGAAAGTCAGCAGATGCATCTTGCTTAAGAATATTCTACACTTGGTTGCCAGGAAATTCAACACAAATGGTTGGTCCAAGTAAGGAATGTTAACTTTCCTGGCTGGCCGCCCACTATTTGGGAATCAGGACTGAGTTATCTGAAAGATACCTTGGCACTTAGGAACTCGCTCCAGGATTTAAGATCAGCAGATATGACTACAAATAAGTTCTAAGTGGCCACCAGCTACAAAGTTTGCCCTGTGGTGATGTTTCTAATTCATCTGGATTTTTGGCTGGTCCTTCCTTCCTTCCTTCCTTCCTTCCTTCCTTCCTTCCTTCCTTCCTTCCTTCCTT